TAATTAACTGAATGATAAAAATTAAATTAAAAATTAAATTACAGCTTTAAATGCTTAGTAAATAATGTACTTTTGCAATTGCGGTAACTCGAGAAGCAGCATTCAAAACTAAAATGAACAACTATTACAGTTTTTTAATTTTCATAATAATACTATAAAATCGCAAAACAAGTTAATTTTCGACTTCGATGTTAACTTTTCCGTTAACATATAGGAGTCGACATACGTATTCTTAATTTCAGTTTATTACACAGAGAGAATTTTCTTTTAGAATTTACCCTGAAAATCATGGTGATCGTGGGACAATATGATATTGGAAGAATTTTATAAGAGTTATTATCACAATAAAAAATATTAGTATCTACCACACTAAGATATAAAATGAGTTCGATTAATTTTACTATATGCACATATTAATATTTTTATTATAGTAAATATTAATCAGAGAAACTTATAAAATTCTTCCTATATTGTCCCACGATTATGATTTTCAGGGTAAATTCTAATAATAAGAGAAAATTCTCTTCGTGTATAATTATATCATGACAATCAAAATTTACACATATACATATAATTAAAAAAAAAAAACTAACAATCTCTGTTTCTTCTCTCTCTCTCTCTCTCTCTCGTCTTTAGTTTTCTTCGTCAAAACTATTTTCGTCATAATTTACACCCACACGTTCACGCTAATTTCGTGTCCCATCGGACACAAAACGGTTAAATTCCACGTTGCGGAATTTGGAGAAGGAAAGAGAGAGAGAGACAGAGGGAGGATGGAGAGAGGTCGAGCGTTGTCGGAACGAGCCTCATTCGCGTGCGGGATTAAAATTCGAGTCCCACGGTACACGGTAGTCTTGCGTTCTCAGACACGACTGACTGTTTGGGTCCTTTCACGTAAGGACGAAAGAGAAGCGCGTTTTAAGCGCTTCGCGGAACCCTTTTTTCGTCCCACCACCCCGAACGTCACGCATGTGTGTATAAAACAGCCGCGGGTGAATGATGACGCGTATAGCGTCGAATCTTTCGTGAAGTATCTATGGGAAAAGCATCCTCGGCCTTCGAGATCTCAAGGATCGACAGCTACTGTATAGTAAGCGGTGAAACGTCTCGTGAATATAGCACATGCTTTTTATTTCTTTTTTCAATTTCGAGATCACATCTCAACGTTTACACAAAGAACACGATAGAAGATTGCTGATAAAAATCGAATCTAGTATCATTTCGAGAAATTTAAATCTCCATTGCAATCAGTACACAGAGAGAATTTTCTCTTAGAATTTATCCTGAAAAAAATCACGATAATCATGGGACAGTATATGATATTAGGAGAATTTTTTATAAGAGTTTCTCTGATTAATATTTGCCATGATAAAAAATATTTATATCTATACAGTATAAGATACAAAATATGTTTGATTAATTTTACTATGTACATATTAATATTTTTTATTGTGATAAATTAATCAGAGAAACTCTTACAAAATTTTTCCATTTTGTACCACGATTATCATTATATTTTCAGGATAAATTCTAACAAGAGAAAATTCTTTCCGTGACACGCAAAAGAAATTATAGAAAGATGTCATATTTATAAAAAGTTTGATAGATGTCTAGAAGCTCTAGTAAATTATAATAATAAAGATATGATTAGGTGTCTGGAATTGATTTGCCGAATCTTGCATTTTATTCAATCGGTATCGAGCTTGCAGTTATTCGAAAAAAATTTGCATAACTTTCAATAAGGCATAATACCGTTTTGCGAGACGTCGAGACTTTGTCGCGTTTGCAGTTCGATGATCGATGGGAGAAAATAAATGCGCGCAAAGAACCGCGTAACAAATTCCCGCGTGCCTGGTATCACAATGCGCGTAAAAATCCTGAAATTGCATACATCGTGCGCGAAGAGACGAGCCCATTATCGCGGGAAGCAACCGGAGAGAAAACGTCCACTTGTGGACACATGAGAAACGGTGTGACATTACTCGTGCATCATCAAACGATAATCTCCGTGCGATCTACAAGAGAAATAATATATACGGTACGGGGACGTCACAGCTGTCGCTGTTGAAGTTTGATTACCGTCGGACGTGAGTAAAAATCGGAAAATTATACTTTGCAATGTAACGGTACGTCGATTCGTTATTCATTGTCTTTCTATCCAGATGGTTTCAATTATCTTTTTCGTGTTTGGATTCTGTCGTTCACTTTCTTTACAAACGTCATTTAGCATTTCTCTATGCGAGAAATGTATTTTTGCTCGTGTTCCTAAACTGCATTCATTTTTTATACGAATTTCTCGCCAGCAGAAAATGAAAAACATTGTTCAATCGATGCGTTATTCATTTATATTTAATAAATTATGCGAATCAGTTATGGTTTCATTTTCGCGAATTTTTTGATCAGTTTGGAACCAAATATTTTTCTTATTCAGCGAATAAATGAAATATGAATTCAAATTTTATACGCGCAAGTGATATTCTCCATTCTATACATATATTGTATATATGTACTGTTTATTTTAATAAAAAAAGAGAAGGAGCGCAAATAGCTCCGTAAGATCGAGATACCATGACGGCGCCGAATCGATTCTATCAAAGAGAACAAAAACTTTGTGGCAGCGCCTATTATATATCTGGCGGCGCGATCGCCGGCATTTCGTCCGACATTCTTTATTTTTGCGGTTGGCCCGGGGCGAGAAATAACGACGTCGTTCCCGCGATCGAATCCGGAGTGTCGGCGGTCACGAGTGTCCGTCTGGGATCTGCGAGTGTGTCTCGCACACACGTTTTCGGCCGTGTGCGTACTTGACGTACGCGTGCGCGTGCTTGAAGAAATATACACGGGACGCGAAAAGCGTCGCGGCGCTGGGCGACCTGCGTTACGTCCGCGAGCTTCGTCGGAATGCATAAATATACAAATCGCAAGAGAGAGAGAGAGAGAGAGAGAGAGAGATTCGCCACCCCGAATTTATAAGAAGCCGTGACTCCACACGCGATATATGTACGTGACGTTTTCGTGCGGAACGCCAGATTTACGTTCCTCTCTCTCGACAGGATACATATCTCAGTCCCCGAGAGGGAGGCCAAGACGAAAAGTTTAACTTTTGTCAAGTAACACACGATCGAAATCGCGACAAAGGAACGAGAAACATCCGGTGTTCTGCAATGTTAGCAGAAATAGAAAATTAAATGAACAAACGAAGGAAATGATGCTCTCCGCTCTTGTAAAACGTTTCTAAAATTAAAAAAAATATATATATAAAATATCGAAAATTATGTAACGCGTTTTTAATATACAACTATATAATTATTATTTTTTTGCGACCAATCCCGTTACCTCATACTTCCAGAAACGAACTTCGAGATTGATTGGAATTTGTCGAGGGATTAAATTATTCGTACTGTTAAACACGTGGGGTTTTTTTTTAATGGAGCGCGATGACAAATCGCTAAAGTCCGATCGCAAAAAGGGGTCGTTAATAACAGGTATGAGAGGAAGACAGATCGAGTATATGTGTACAATACAGCCGTTGAGATGCAAGGTTAAATCCTTAACGCGTTCGAGTGCAATCTCTGGCTGTTAACAGGCGAAGCAGAACTAATTACTCGCTACATTAAGCATCATCAATCAATCCTTTTTATTTATCAGCCGGTTTTTGCGCATTCCGTTTCATAAAAATAAGTAACGGACCGCAAACCGGGACGTCTGACCTTCTGCGGTTGACAATATGAGAAGCAACATTTTTATCTCCTGATATATAATTACAGTCGAATAAAAGAATAAACTTTCCTCGTCCACATTACGATTATGTGAATCGATCGACGATATCGCACGTTCTTTGCCGCGTGATTTGCGCATTTACGCAATTTCCCGCATAGGTTAAACAGTATAATCGTGAACACTGGTAATTTACGAACACGTGCAATGAACATTGTATGAAATTGCTTCGAAAAAAATCCTTTGTCCTTTGTTTCATCGTGAAAGAGACAATGCTGTCATAATACACGTTGTTGCAATTCTGCTTGGAGAACTTTAAAACTTTATTACGATATACTGTATAAATAGTTCTCTGAACTTTTTCTTAAAAAGAAAATGTAATAATTATACATTTTCAGCATCCTTAATACGAAATAAAATTATATGGAGCTATCAAGAATAGTTTGGTGAAAAATATTTCAGACAAAAGTTTTGTTTGATTTTGAGAATAGAGAACTCTTATTTTTTTTATAAATTCTTGCAATGATCTAATGAAGCCATTGTATACACAGAGAATTTTCTCTTAGAATTTATCCTGAAAATTATGGTAATCGTGGGATAATATGGAATATATATTGGAAGAATTTTATAAGAGTTTCTTTGATTAATATTTATCATAATAAAAAATATTAATATATATGTACCATACATAGTAAAATTAATCGAACGTATTTTGTATCTTATTGTGTAAATATTCTTTATTGTGGCAAATATTAATCAGAGAAACTCTTATAAAATTCTTCCAATATCATACTTTCTCATAATTACCATAATTCTAAAGGTAAATTTGAAAAGAAAATGCTCTTTATGTATATTATGTATAATACAATATGATTATTTTTGGCTCGTTTTCTTGAAATAGATTCAAGATTTAATGAATAGATAAATAGACTTAAGGTAAAAAAAATACGATAAGCAAATAGAGTGTTTGAACAACAAAAAGATCTTCACATAGTTAAATATTGTCAACAAGTACGAAGGATTTATAATTTAGGAAATTTTCAATAAGAAAGAATTTAATCGCATCACCTTTAGAAAACGTTTCGACATTAACTACGAGAAATAAAATACAATAAAAATTGACGGTAGCTATTTAAAAGATTGAATTTCATGAATCTGACAGGGACACCCAAAATCGCACCCCTAAACAAACACAAGACAAAAAACTTTTCTGTTCGATTACATTACCTCGCGCGTCGTCTTCAAGTTCGAAGGGACTAATCCGTCTCGTGTTCTGTTCGCAGGACTCGCAGAACGGCCCGGTGCTGGACCGATGGAGTATCTGCTCGGCTGAGGAGGAGCCGCTGGTTCTACAGCAGTTCCTCAGGTTCGCCGAGACGCGTCCGTTTGTGCAGCAGTTGCTGCTGGCCGCCGGAACGCCGGGTACGGATGCTATGTCACCGAGCAGACGACCTTCGCCGCCGACGATGCCACTAGCACACTTGCCACCTCCGTTGCACATGCTACATTGCGGGCTGGCGCCACCGGGTTCCCGGTTGCCGCATCCGCTGCCGCCTCCTCCGCCGCCGCCGCCGTCGTCGATCTCGCACTCGTCGATGTCGCCGACGGCGCAGAAGCACCACTATTCCTCGTCCACGATGAATCCCATCGGCGGTGTCGCCAGCAGCAGAGCGAACTCGCCGCCGCGCTCCCTGGACTCGCACCTGACGGTCTCGCCGTTGAATCGGCTGCAGAGCATGCAGCCGTTCGACTTCCGGAAACTGGGCACCCTCGGGCTGCCGGCGTTTCCGGCGTTGCCGCCGCCGCCGTCCGCGGAGCAGCTGCTGCAAAATCGGAAGTCCATGAGGAATCAGCAGAGTCCGCACAGTCCGCCCCATCATTCGTCCGCGGCGTCGCAGCTGCAGAGGCCGCACATGCCGGTCGCGCCGGTCTCCTCGTCGGCGTTGACCTTCGGACACCCGCTCTCGGTCGCCGTCTCCTCCGGCGCGTTACCGCCGAGCTTCCCGACGCATTTCCCGCCACCACCGATGGGCAAATCACCCGGTGGAATTGGCGCCGGGTTAACCATATCCGCGGACGTGCACAGCGGCGGCGAGAAGAGCAGCGAGTTCGGTTCGGAAGAGGACGAGGACGACGAGGAGAACTCGGACAGCGCGCTGAACCTGAGCAGACGGGACTCCGCCTTGTCGAAGCACTCGCTCTCCGATCGGCACAACCCGCCTCCGTTATCCCTCCAGAGCGCGACCTTGGGCAGGCCAACCGGTATACCTGGCAGGAAGCCGCACTCTCCGGGTAAACGACCAGGTAGCCAGTGGAGCGCAGCCGCGAACCTGCCGCCGAATCTCGGGACGCCCTTCATCAATCCCACCACCGGCAAGAAACGCGTCCAGTGCAACGTCTGCCTCAAAACCTTCTGCGATAAAGGCGCGTTGAAGATCCACTTCAGCGCGGTGCACCTGCGAGAGATGCACCAGTGCACCGTCAAGGGTTGCAGCATGATGTTCAGCTCGCGCAGATCTCGCAACCGACACAGCGCCAATCCGAACCCGAAGCTGCACTCGCCGCATCTACGTCGCAAGATCTCGCCGCACGACGGCCGCTCGTCCATGGCGCACGCCCTGGTGTTGCCGCCGCAGGTCGGACTTCCGGTACCAGCTTCCGGACTGAATCATCTGCCGTTCGGCTCCTTCCCGTTGCTCACGCCGCCGCCGGATCTTCGTTCGCCGGCCTCGTTGTGCGCTCTGGACTTCAAGCACCTGGACCTGTCGTCTACGCAGGGCCAGGGCAGACCGTACGACGATGCGTTGCATCAGCAGAGAATGTCGGTGAACGCGAGTCTGTCGACCACCACCACGACCTCGACGACGATGCCGTTGGCGATGTCCAGCGCCGCGCTCACCACGACCACGACGCCGGCGCGAGGTTCGTATCCTGGTGGCGGCGCGGTCTCACCATCCACTCAGGCGTCGTCCATGATTCCGGAAGGCGAGGAAGATGACGATGACGACGATGGTGGGATCGTTGTGGTCGCGGAAGATGAGACCAGCAATCTGCCATCTAGATTGCAGCCGCTACGTACCGACGACGATGAGCAGCCGGCCGACTTCAGTCTAGCGAAGCGACCGAAGCTATACTTCGGCGACACTGCCGACGAGGATCTCGCCAGCAATCCGGATAGCAACGAGGACAACGACTCGATGGGCACGATCGATCAGCAGTCTTTCTCCGTGAGCCAACACTCGCTCAACTCGAGTTCCTTCCATAGCCGGGGCGTGCGCAAGAGGAAGTCCCAGCATCCTACGAGATGTGCCGTGCCGGTGGAAGTGCACTCTTCGTCCACGGACGGTGACTCCTCCAACGACGAGGAACAGCGGATCCAACGACGTTGTCTATCCGACAGCGTCGTCGCGCCGACGCCGATGACCGAGTTTCAGAATCAGCCAGAAGACATGTCGATGTCCAGGCTCGAAGCGGAAGAGCGAAAGATACTCCCTGGTTCACCGAGAAATCTCAGAGGCGGTTTTCACGAATCGGACTCGCGCTCGCCGGATGCCGCCAAAGAGCGCGAGACGTCCGTCAATAATCGACGCGACGCTCCCTCTTCCCAGGACAACGCGGAGGATCTTCAGGACGAACCGCGGGACTTGAGCTCGAGAGCGAGCAGCATCAAATCGCCGAAACGACAGATCACTCCGGAACCAAAGATCGATAACGCACCGTCGTCGAGCGCAACGCCGTGCGGGGCGACGACAACGACAACTTCTTCGGCGAAGAATTCTGACGCCACGTCGTCGTCCGAGCAGAAAGATCGGCGGCAGAGCGTGGAGAGTGACGAAACGAAGGCGAAAGAGGAAACGACCGCGAAGAGAGAACCCGCCGAGACGTCTGCGCAGGAGGAGAGAAAAGCAGTGAACGAGGTGGAGCACCAGGAGGACGAGGAGGACGACAATGATGAGCCCATGGAAGAGGTCGAAGAAGATGAGGAGGAAGAGGATGATGCGGACGACGCGCTGCGCAATCAAGAAGGTGAGCGTCCCGATGATCCCCCCCGTGCCCCGAGCTCGGTCGACAGCCGTCCGACGACAGCCGACGACCTCTCCCACGACTCCTCGACCAACACTTTGCGTCAACTCGAGTCCTTGTCGCAGGGTCGATGCGCGATGCCGTACGCCGAGACGCAGCGGGTGGCTTCGAGGTCTGGCCGCGGCTCTACCAGCCCTATCAGCCTCACGACCCACCAGGAGACCACCATGGACAACTCCTCACATGGCTCTCGTTCATCCAGCGCCTCACCCTCCACAGCGGCCATGGATACGGACAATAGCCTGATCACTTACGCGCGCTACGAGAACGGCGGCTTCGTCAGCACCCAGGAGGTGCCGCTCGACCGTGAGAATCCGCGCCGTTGCACCGCTTGCGGCAAAGTCTTTCAGAATCACTTTGGGGTGAAGACCCATTATCAAAACGTTCACCTTAAACTGATGCACCGCTGCAGCGTAGACGGTTGTAACGCAGCCTTCCCCTCGAAACGATCTCGCGATCGCCACTCGGCGAATCTTAATCTGCATCGGAAACTGCTGTCGACCTCGTCGAGTCCACCGCTCTCGTCCAGTCTGCCGCCGAGTCTATCACCGCGCGTTGACGATCCGCAGATGAACCCGTTGCTGCATAACGAGTTCCTGGCGAGACTCTACGCCGACGCTGGCATAGGCGCCTTGGGTGCGTATCCCTTAGCACCTAGCCTACCGTCCGCGGTTGATCTGGCGGCCAGGATACCACCGCCGCATCCGCTGCTGCTGCCGCCGCATCTCGGCGCCCCCTTCCCGGGTCTTTCCTCGTTCGCGTCTCACCTGGCCGGTCTGAACGGCCTCACTCATCAGCACCTGAACCACTTGACGAGACTGACCCAGGATCAGGGCAACAGGCACGTGTCTGCCTCGCCCATGTCCTCGCCAGGCTCGGACGATCGTAAAGAGGAGGCTAGGTGCACTATACCCGGCTGCGAACGTGTCTTTGGCTCCAGGGCCGTGCGGGACGCGCACTCTAGGGACCCCCAGGCCCACCGCGATTTGCCGATCCTGACCACCAGCAGCGGCTCGTGACCGATCTCGTTCTGCGGTCGCGGACACAATTATTATTCCCTACTGTGATGCCAAAATCCTAACGGCGACTCGATCGATCGCCGATGATCTCGTTTCTATGTAGGGATCGGCAGATGATGCGGTCTTCGCGAACGTTGCCCTTATTCGAAACGTTCAACGGGCGTGCATAAAAACGTGCAATATCGAGCGGAGTGCATTCGGGATGATCAACCATCATGTGACTTTTACGAAGTGGTTCCGTTAATCAAGGTCGCCGAGAATCTGCCCACGGAGCCAGTTTCAATGTGGTAAACAAAATATCTGCCTGCCAGTTCTTTCCATTTCTCAGATTCATTCGTCAGGATATTTGTTGGGCTAATCTAGTCAATCTGGAAATTTTATTTCGCGCGTTATCAGAAATGATAAGGTATAATAGTCGCGCGCTGAATCGCTGCCGATCTATCTCGCTTTATTAATCGACAATATTGCGCAAGATATTTTGACAATATCAAATTTTGTATTGATAATAATGAAGATGCATCGAAATAAACTTGAGAAACGCACACGTCTGATAAGTCATAAGTTTTTTTTTCAAAAGAAACGACAGATTCTTGTGGAAGATTTTATTTGAGCTGGAATATGTAGCAGCTTATGCAGATCATATTGCATAATACTTGATTATATTATATTTGAAGCTTCTCTTGCGCGCATTTTGTATAAAATTGAATGATTTTAATTCGAAAGAGCATAGAATTTTAAAAGCTATTTAAATAGCCTATTATTTATAATCGTTAAAGAAGAAATAATTTAATATTTATTTACAGAATGAATTTTTTTATTTATATTTCATGTATATTTTATATATAGAAAATTTGTACAAAAAATTTATATATATGCAAAATTTACATGTTCCATGAAAATTTTATATATACAAATATTTTATTTATATACTTTACAATTTTACATTAATTGACATTTGAGAATAATAGTTCCTATAATCATAGTTTAATCATAATTTTTAGAAATTGTGGTCCTAAAAATAACTAGTGACAAATTCAGAAATGTCACACAAAAATATAAAATCATTCATTTTTATTAAGACAAAAATCGTGTATTGTGCAATATCAATTAATATATCTGCTTATAAAAAAAGTATTACTCACTTAGAATATAAAACTTGCTTTTGAGAAAACTTTTGAGAAGATATTGAAAATTTATAGATTTTCTTCTGATTTAATTATTCTAGAGCGAGCAATGAAGCAGCACGCGAATATATTTGTTACACATTTTTCCTTCGTATCATTGTGAAGAATCGTAAGAATGGCACTGGCTGGCAAAAATTCAGAATTTAATTGGTCGATTAAACTGCCTGACCTTGAAAATGTTCACATTCGCGTGGCGTGCGATCATTTTTTTTTTCACGAGCGCGATGCCGAAGAATCGAACATGACGAACCGTTCGGCCAAAGTGTTTCATCTCGTCCGCTTAGATTTCTCTTATTCGTCAAGAGAGAGAGCGAAATGGTCGTGTTATTTAATCGTGTCTCATTATCAGGATTATTTAACATAATCAGGAATAAAGCAAGAAAGGGACAGAAGGAATAAGGGAAGTACGAGGAAAAGCGGACTGAGAAGACGCGGTCCCAAAGGGCTAATTTCATCATCGTTGTGATAACGTACGTTTAGCGAATAACGCCACTATTTAACCAGTAACCAATTATTACTGCTGTATATAAAATATAAAACAGACATAGTACCTTTCGATGTAAAAGCGTAATTATATCGATTAAGTTCTATACCAACGCGTCCGACGCGATGGTTAACGACGATTAGTTTTGTAAATGTAAAGAGGAAGCCGGACGCGTGTAAGGAAAGATGAAGAGAGAGAGAGAAAGAGAGGGAGAGAGAGGAAGCGATGTATATCACGTCGCGATGACGGCAGCTAGAAAGAAATGCAATCTTACTTTAAGGAGAGGGAGCATATGCCCTCGAGAGCTCGGAGGCTGAAGGGTGACGGATGTTCGGCCGATCGGTATAGATAGACGAAGACAGTGGATCGACCAGCAAATCAAAGCGACGGCGTTTCGCGCTAGATAAATGAGAATAGATAGATTTTATTTATTGTTTCCTAGGAACTTCACACACACACACAAACACACACACAAACACACGCATTACACAAATAAACACTCACACTTTGACAGCAGAGCGGCCAGTAGCGGGCACTGCCGCGAGTATAACTTCCTCCTCTAGACTTGTAAAGTCGCCTTATCGTTTTCACAAATGGAAAATCACAATTGACGTCGGAGGATCGTCGTTTTCGAGGAAAAAAAAATTCACTCGGAGTTATTCGGTCAAGAACCGGGAGAGTGCGAGCTCCTCCTAATGATAATTTTTTGGTTGTACATATAATACTTTATTTTCATATATCTACGGATATAAATGTATAATTTACCGGTGCTTGCGAGAGAGATATTCTCTTCGGGAGCGTACGTACGTATGTGGTGCGCGTTTTTTCTATGAAACCTTCGTTTTGCATTTTCGCGTACCCGAAAGAGAGAGAGAGAGAGAAAGAGCGAAGTTTTCCCTTCTCCCGCGACACACGACGAACCCACTACTATTACGTATTAAGAGGACGAATGAGATTTACAATTGTAATTATGTATAAACCGAATGCTACGATGTATATTATAGATCGATTATAAAGAACACACACACTCATCATTATGAAAATAAATACCTATCAAAACTAATCTACTGAAATATGTTTTTCCTCCTCCCTTTATTATATTTAGTTCTACAATGGATCTATCGTAAAGTTTCCTTTATCAATTTTCATCTTATTATTTTATCTACGATTAAATTACCATTAAAATAATATATCTACTATATATTTTGATTCATATAATTTTATGCATCGTTTCATTTATTTGTAAAAAAAATAAAAAATTAATTAAGATTTAAAAAATATATAAAATTATAACGTTCATGAAAAAAGGATGTTCGGAAAAAGAAGATGACTGTCAAGATTCACACATATGTCTGTTTCCGTTTTGATGAAAGGGTGGACAGCGCTTCATCGAGCTTTCGACACAAACAGATAGGTTTGCGAGCAAAAATGAAAAATAGAAAGATCTCACTCCGCCCACGCTCTAACACGGGGCGACCTCGTTTTCGCGGAAAGAAGATCCTTTTGCCAGGATGCGATGTCGGATCGTTTATCAGAGGATCTCGCGGGCGTGCACGTGAACGCCTACTAATCCGCGGGTATCATGAAAAAAAGGATCTTTCTCTCTGACAAAAGACTTGTTTTCAGCCTGGACCCTATACAAAATCACACTCGCGTTATAATGACGGAACTCGGAATCTAAGCGAAAAACATATGGTTCTCTTTAATTATTTACGATTATATAAGTAATAATTATATATATGAAGCGAAATAATATTCAGAGATATTTTAACTTTAATTTGAAATTAGAATAATATGACATTTATTTTAATTTATTTCCGCTGCATCCATTATATATACTGATCTAAAAACTTACACTTTTATTCAGAATATAATAAACACAAATTACCATTACTCCAATTTGAAAATAAATACATACATTCTCTTCCGAGGAAAAGAAAATATTATGTTACAAATTATGAAGTAAAACTTTCTCCAAAATAATCATTATATTACATGCTGAGAGATGCAATTATTTTACATCATGCACGAAAATAGTTAGTTATGGCTCTCGTCGAAACCTTTTGACAAATAAATAGTTATACATATGTTTATGGATCGACTTGAAGGACCTTCCGTGATCGCTTATTGTTAGACTGCTCACCGATAAGTCCTCCACTGTGCAACGAAAAAAACCAACGGACTGACATGATGGCAGAGCAGTAATTAGAAGTGTCTCGTGGTCGGGTCCACCCGAAACGAAACGCTTAATTACACGTGAACGTCGAGCAGGCCTGTCGTCCTCTTCGGAGTAAAAGGGAGGACACGAGAAGGCTCGAATCCCGCTTGGACCCCAGCCTTTAATCGGCAGATTAGATTAGGGATCCTTCGATTCTCGCGCTATCCCCGACTGGGGATTAATAACGGATGCACGCGAAACCGAATCCCGGCTAGATTTCAACTAGTGTTTGGCAACTCCATGAATCACATTGTAAAAAAAATATATGTAAAATTGCAGGAACAATTAAGTGTAAAATTACACAATGAATAATAAAAATGTATAACATTTCCATTATTTAATATGTAACTTTACACTTGTCGTACATGCAATTGTATAATATTTTTTTACAATGCATGATGCAAACATAAAAATGTAAAAAAATCTACGCTTTTAAATTATTTATAAAATTATTATATACTTTTAAAATACAATATATAGTTATAAAATAGCGGTTCTAATAACGATATATATGATAAAATTATTCGTAAAGCTGGTAAGTAATGAAAATAATAATTAACATTCCAGATGATTGCAGCAACTATTCGAGACCATTCAGAAGTTCTTGATATTCTCTTCTGTTTTACACACATAACATAAATTTCAATCCACTTTGCGCTATAATTCAATTTAACGAAACATTGTACGTCTAAAAAAATTCTCATCTTTCGGAAAGCTTTTTTAGCAATTTAAAGCGTCAAGAGAAAATTCTTTCGTGTCTCTGCGAGTTTGGCACCATATATATTTCTTTCTCCCTCCCTTTCTCTCTCTCTCTCTCTCTCTATTTTTCTATTCGTAAACGTGTACGTAGCACCGATGTACGCGAGATAAATGGATTTAGCTTCGACCTTACCGAGTACGTGCGCTCGCCCGGCTAGAGCTTTATTCTACCACCTCTCCGGATGCTCTCTCGTGCGCACGACAGGTGCAGCGCGTGGGAGAACGAGGGTGGGAAGGTGGAGGTAGGTCCACGCTCTCTCACAGGAAACTCGTCACGAGGGGGGAAAGGGAGAGGCCAGAGGAGACAGGGAGAAGGAAGGCAAAAAAGAACAAAACGATAGAGAGAGAAGGCGGTCTCTTCTCGGTTAACGTCGACTCGCCCATCGATTCCCCGCGTATCCCCGTCCATTACCGTCCATACCGTATATCCCTGGTCCATTGCATCCACCGCGGGGCTTCACCATTGCTCTCGCGTGGTCGTTTGGGCCAGCTGATCACGCTCTTGACAGCGAAATCCGCGGAATACAGATAGATAGAAGTCTATATAGTTAATACACAGAGAGAATTTTCTTTTAGAAGTTTCCCTCAAAATCATGGGAATCATATGGGACAATGTGGTATTGGAAGAATTTTTTAAGAATTATTATCATTTTTTAAGAATTATTATTATAATAAAAAATATTAATATATATATATAAAGTATAAAATATGTTCGATTAATTTTATTATGTATATATTAATATTTTTTATTGTGATAAATATTAATCAGAACAACTCTTACGAAATTCTTCCAATACCATATTGTCCCAAGATTATCATGATTTTCAGAGTAAATTCTAAGAAAAAATTCTTTCCATGTAATATTTATTATAACTCAAATTTTTATTGTCAAAGTATAAATCTATTGGAATCGAATAATAATTAATTACAGTCCACAGTTAGACTCTATGATATTTAACACTCGTGTAAAAAAATATATATTTCTTTCTCTTTAATATTAAATTTATGTTAATATCAAAATTTAATATTAAATTTAATTATTAAATCAATTTTTCTAATATATTATAGTAAAAAGTAATAAAAATAAGTTTATAATCAACTCAATAATATAGATTGTAATAAAATTACAACGTTTATTGTAAACTTCTCACA